TGCCCCAGGGAGGCTGCGGGGCAGAGGGAAGCAAGACCTCGGGCTCTGGGGTGTGGTGTGGGGCAGCACGCCTGCATGCCTGCCTGGGGCTGGCTCCAGAGCCAGGATTAATTTGCAGAGCCAGAAGGAGAGCCCCAAACAGTGCCAACTCACAGCGTAAGCACTGGGAGGGCAGGCAGGCTGCAGGCGGGTCCCACAGCAGATCCCACATCACCTGGCCAGAGGAAGAGGAGGAGGAGTGACCTTGGAGTGGAGCTGGCAGACACCGCGCTGCTGTGGGGCCGGGACTGCCGCCGCTACCAGCGATCTGCCGTGCCCTTGGCCATAGTCATCCTTCCAGCTGCAGCTGTGCGCCAGTGTGCAGAGGCTCAACTTAGGAGAGGAGACCTGCACACCTGTTCCCCGGGCACCCTGATATCCCCCCACGCCTGGCGTGGCCCCGTGCCCTGGCTGCTGTGCGGGGCCTGACCCCCGTGGCAGGCTGCTCCCAGCAGGCAGGCGCGAGCTCCGTGCCTGCTCATCTGCCACGGCTGATGCCCAATGGGCTCTGCCAGCTCATGCCGCTGGCACCGGGACCCTGTCAGCCGGGAGGCTGGGCGTTGGCGGTGCATGGAGTGTAAGCACTTGGACCAGTGCTCAGCGCTAATTAATTATCCTCTTACGTTAACTTTTCTCTCTCTATCTGCGGCCGTGACACAGCAGGGGCAGTTCCTGCCTTCCCAGCCACCCGGACGTCCTCCCTGGTGTTATCGGTTTTGGTTTTTCACCTTTATGTTTTGGCACGAGTGTCAAAAAACTGCTTTACCCAGGGCCATGACTGCCAGCAATGCTGTGCCCTGCCCAGCCACAGCGAGACGCTGCCAGACTCTACAGCATTTGGAGGGGCGCAGTGGGCACCCCTGTTGCGGGCGCTCTGCTCACCTCGGGGCCCGCCCCGGGTGCCTGACACGACTCTCCCTGGGGTGGGTCCTCGGGGCTGGGGGTGTTGTTCTGAGCTTTCCCACCCGGATAACCTGTCGGGGGGGGGGGTGGCTCCTGGCACACCTG